CGGAGATCTCTGTCCAGAAGAGCGCAGTCCTGGGAACAGCTAAGATACTGCGCAGGACCCTCAAGCTCCCAGGCCTCTGGTAGAGGACCCGAGCTTGAAGGATTAACCACCCACAGGGGCAAGTGGGGAATTTTTATATATATAAATATATATATATATATATATGTTAGAAAGCATGGTGTTTGGACCAATGATTGGATAAAAGCAAAAGTGTGTGGATGCCTCAGTCGGTCATGGTTTTGGAGACTAAATGCTGAACCTCCTTCTCAGTGGCTGCCAAAGCTGTCATAATAACGCTGCACCACAATTTTAAAGCATCGAGTTACCAATTAAAATCAAGCTTATGACAAAGGTGACCCCTCAAACCCAACCCAGAGTGACGAGAACTGTTAATAATGGCAGAAAGAATCTTTGGGAAAATTTTATTTGTGGAGACTTTTTGTTTCAGGTTGACCCCTGTCCTATCCAGGGAGGGGGCAGGGTTATGACTTATACTGCAGTCAGACACCGGGGGGCGATAGAGATGGTTTGGCTTCACTTTTTGGGGGGGTGAGATCGCCTGCATTTTCTGCAGTCACTGGTTTCTCTCCGTTGAGTCCTGATGTTCTAAAAATGTCTCCAAATGAATCATTTCATGTGACAGATCCTTATAATTTGTCCTCTCAATCACATAATAATCATGGATTGCCTGAGCAGCAGACGAACCAATACGACACTACAAACCTCACATCGTGGAGTCGTTCAAGTTTAATAACCAAGTTTCAGTCATGTTGTATTTGGCTGAGAGTAAACCAAATGATGGAGGTCAGGTCTTTCCTTCACTGGCAGATTTAGTCAAGTTCACATTTTCCTTGATCTCTACCAGGTTTGATTGATGCACCTCACAGTAACTCACTCACTGCTCAGCAGGAGAAATCCACAAGTCCAGAGAGCTGCTCCAAGGAAAACGATCATATGACCACAAACATGTGCTGTGAATCAGCTGCCTGTTAGTTTTGGTTTTGATTGGAAGATTTTGCCGCTGGTTTTAAATGATTTACACGAGAGCTTTACTCATACTGTACCCACGATTTTCAAAACTGTCTAAACCTGAATAATAACTGTCCTCTTTTAAAGCCCTCTTTAGTATCATTGCACCTGTTGAGGTTAGGAGCTACAAAATACAATTGCTACTTTACTAAAGTAGTAGTACTCAGACTACTTTGCAAACAAAAGTGTAATTTTTGCATTTTGAGTAATACATTTTTCTGCTATTTCCAACTTCCTTTTATTCACATAAAGACAGCAACAACAAACAAACAACCTAATGCATTATTTTC